CTGCTGAGTGATAAGCATTGAAGTGTTGTCAATCCACGCAACTCGGAAAGGCTTAGCAATTTGCTCTGTCTTAAGTCCAAGACGAGCAACACCTCGACTAGAGATCACATTCTTTCACTTCCACTATCAATAACCAGTTTGCATGACTTATCACCGCACTTCACGAAGGTGTGGAAGATGCTGTTCCGTTTCCATGAGTCATCTGGCGTTGGGACAGTCAAGAGGCATCGCATCACTCCAAGATGACCTGATGGCATGTCATCACAATTAATTTCTTCGTCCACATCAGAAGGAATATCGACAGGGTCGATGACGACATCTGGATCGCTCTCGAGTAGTGCATCGTCTTGAGATTCGATAAGCAACGCACGTTGCGGGCACTTTGAAGCGATGTGTCCCTTAGAGTGACACTTGAAACACTCTATCGATGAGCTACCTGTGCGAGCGTTCGAGGCTAATGACTCTCTTGGCCTAGAAGCGCTTGGTCCTGAAAGTTGTTGACTTACCCGCTGATTGCCCGAAACAGTGGAGCTGCGTGTTGGACGAGACTCTAATCCAGAGAAGCTGGGACGCCTGAAAGAGGGATACTTAGGCAGGGAGTCAATGTCGATAGCCTTATGATATGCTTCCTCTAAAGTGTAAGGACGGTTTACTCTGAGCTCCCTCTGTATGTCATCCCTAAGGCCGCTGATGAACCTCTCAATAACCACAAAACTCGGCTCATTTAAGTCATTGCGGATCAGAAGGTCATCGTATCGAGAGACGTAGTCGGCTGCCGATGAGGTTCCTTGCTTGAGGTTGTTCAATTGGTTGAAGAGCATGCTTAAGTGACTGACCGGCACGTACTTTTCCTTAAGCTTCAACTTCATCTCCTCCCAAGTAGTGACAGGAGGTTGCCCTAGGCGTTCAAGGTTCGTTTGGACGAACTGCCAATACTTCCTTGCAGATCCTACGAGCTTCATCTTGGTAAAACGAACGCGTTGTATGTCACTCATATTGTACCACTCGAAGTAGTCGTCCATGGTGGCTAACCAATCGAGGAAGGCATTCGCATCTAAACGACCATCAAAGTCAGGTGCCTCAACTTTAACCCTCTTCGTCATATCATCATTGTAGTCTTGCCGAGGGGTGTCTCGGTATCGTCTGGGCGGCGACAGTTCTCGTCCATACCTAGGGCGCGCAGCGTATCCTCCATAGGCTCGTCGGTTCACAACATGGGATTCGTAGCGAGCCTCTGTCCCTTGCTCATCCCATGGGTTGTCCTCTTCCTCGAACTGTGGGGGAAGGGTCTCAACGTGTAGCGGTTTAGCCTGCGGGTTACGTGGCCCTATAGACAGTTGGGAGCCTCTAGGGTGAGATGGTCCAATGGTGTCGAACTTAAGGTGCGCTTGATTGGTCTCAGGTACATTTCCAAGAATCCCTTCTGCACCTTTACTAAAGACATGCCTATCAATTCTTAGGAGAGAATCTCTAATTTCTTGCTGGGAGGTCCTAAGCTCTTGATTAGATACCTTAAGCTCCTGAGTAGTGGCTCTAAGCTCCTGACACTGGGAGTTATATTCTTGCTTAATCTCGGCCAAAGATTCCTTAAGGCATTTGGTAAGTTCATTCAGTTTTAGTTCAAAGGTCTGAAGTCTCTGGTCCATTTGGGATTGAAGGGAGCTAACACGAGGTTCTAAAGATTGAAGTGCTTGGTCTAAGGTGTCTTGTCTATTTTCAATATCACGAATAGTCATGCAGTAGATAGACGAAAGCTAACAACAAATAATGAAGCAAGTAAAGAGCTACTAATAAAATGAAAATAAATTCTTCCTCCTTTTTTTTTTTCTCTTCTTTTTTTTTGCCCTTTTTTTTTGCTTTTTTTTTTAAAACAAATGAAAATGCTAATAAAATATAATATCTACGGTAGACAATAATCAATAAAATGGCAAAAGCAAACTAGTAACCTCCAGTATGTCAAACTAGTCACAGTAAGTTAAAGAGAGGGTCAATTGCGCCTTACCAACGCACTTAAAGAGACCAGAAAAAAATTACCCCAAAGTGTCTAAATGATCCTGTGGCCGAAGTGAAATTTTGACAAAATCCGGGTCCAGAAGTGTAATTTCCTCCAACGAATAGGGTCAGACAGTAAAATTTCGAAATCTGGGGTGAATCCGAAATTTTCTGGAAATTATGGGCCGAGTGTGTAATTTTCGCTAAAACTGAATCTGGAGCCGCAGAGGAACGGAGGCACGTGGATCTCACGCACAGAGACTATGACGGCGCGTGGGAGCGCGTGGAGACTTTCTGGGAGTGAAACTCGGGGTTGAACCGCGTTGTCCCTTGTGAACCCAATGGAGGTGGTCTCGTGTTGATCAGATGCCGGAAAAGGGAGATCTGAGGCTCTGAAGTGACGCTGACGGTAGTTTCGCACGGGGGGATGATTTGATCTTGTGAGGGGTGATTTCCAGCAGTCCCTGGCCGCGAGTCAGTGGGGTTTGGACGCCTTCTTGTCGGAGACAGTGATGATGGTGACGGAACGGTGAACGGCGGTCACGTTGGGGTTGAACGGCGTTGGAAGCAGATGCGGCGGGTTGGCTTTTGAAGTAAGGGCTTGTTTGGATACACAGAAAAAGAAATTTTAGGCACAAGAAAGAAAATCAACCTGGCTCTGATGCCAAAATTGATGTAAAACAAGAAAGGATTGGAAAGGATGAGAGGTTAGAGAAGAGGAAGAGGAAGAGAGGAGAAGTAGAGGAGCAGGGAGAACGGGAGAAAACTGATCGATGAATTCTAAATGCCAAGTCTGATCACAAACTGAAACCCTAAACTATAAATAAACGAAAGAAATAAAATAAATAAAAGAAATAAAATGAGGGGAGTGGGGAAGTGGGGTGAATGGAGTAACTACCCACGATTTAAAATAAACAATAATAAAATAATTAATTAGTTAAATTAAAATCTGCATCAATATGTTTTAGGAATTGTACTCTCTTTTGATAAATCTGTAATATATGGTACTTCTGTAATTTTGATGACCTAAGTACTTGCTTTATTCTAGCGATTTTGACGATGGAAGATGAGAGGTTTTTTTTTTTTGGACTAAAAAAATACTATCTATTCCAAAGAAAGAGTCAACGCAAGGTTAACCAATTCCTTGCTTACAATGCTCAGCATCAAAAGAAAGCAAACTTAAAAAAGGGGATGGGGGACACAAATCCCAACCTATAGGGAACATCCCTTTGCAACCAGCTTTGGCTAACCAATCTACAGCCAAATTACAAGTCCTAGGAGCAAACTTTAAAGTAAATGAACGGTGGTTTTGAAACAAAAATCGTAAATCAGAAACCAAAACTGCAGCATGCCAATCAGGACATGAGGAGTCATCTATAACAGCATTCACTAGAGGTAAGCAGTCAGACTCAACAGTCACTTGGCCTAGATCTCGATCTTTCACTTTAAACACTGCTTCATGGAGAGCTACGGCTTCAGCATGGAAAGCCGATGAAACTGTACAAGATTTGCAACCAAGGTCCACCATCCTTCCCTCTGAGTCGCGCAAGACATAACCTGTTCCACCTTTGCCAGTAGCTGCATTAAAAGCACCATCAGTATTTAGTTTAAGGGAATCATTGTTAGGGGAGACCCAAAATTTAGGTGAAACATCTTGAGATCTGCAAGTTTTTTTATCTTTAAAGAAATTCCTAGCAGCCTAGAACTCATTCACACTACACATAACAGTTGATAAGCCAAGATGGAAGATGAGAGGTTGAAGAACTATGACTTATTTTTTAAAAAAAATAATTTTCTACTTCTATAATTTTGATGACTTAGTTATTCTTTTTTGTTCTAGTGATTTTGATGGTGGAATACGAGAGGTTGAAGACCTGTGATTTATTTTTATTTTTTTAAAAAATTCTACCTCAATTATAATATAATCGACGTAGATTTTAGAAGATACCGTATTGCCTGAAAAGCTCTACATAATCAATATGAAAAGCCTTACATGACCGACATGAAAAGCCCTATATAACAGACATCAAAAATCTTTTTCATAGTAATGGAGGGATTTATGATGGAAAGTTCGTCGCTAATCTCCAAAGCAATATTTCAATCACCAATGTCTGTTGCTAGTTACGGGAATAGCCAATTTCAACTTGGTAATGAATTTGCAATTGAAGTTTCACCGCTAATTTAGCAATAAAATTGCGATGGATGTTCGGTCACTGGTTTATTTTATGTTGCTAATTTATTTTTTCATAATAACATATTTTAGTTGATAATTCGCTACATAATTTTTGTGGCCGATCTATTGTAAATTAATTTTCTTAATTTTTGTTATTTTTATTTGCAAGCAACATTTTTATATACGTCTTAATAACTATAAAAACGGTTAAGTTTCTTATCAACTAAACAATTCAACTTTATTCGAAACAAAAAAAAAATTTCTAATTAATTATACAAAGTAGCAAGTTATAGTAAAAATGTCTAGAATCTAATTATTTATTATAAAAAACGGTTACAATGGATGGATTAAATTTTAGGAAACTTATTTTCTGAGCGAAATTTTATAAAACTTTATTTACGAATTTTTAATATAAAACCAGTTAACTAATATGAAAAAAAATTAAAAAAAACTAAAAAAAATACTTTAAAATACTTAATTAAATTTATTGTTTTTTTTCTAAACTGATTTATCTAACTTACAAAATGATTTATAATCTAAAGATATACACAAGTATTTCAAAAAAATTATATAGCATATACTATAATTAAGTAATTTTTTAATTTTTTTAATCTTATTAAATTAGTAAATTAAATTTTATATCAGGCATCACAAATAGTACTGCAAAGTAGATACAGTAAAACTAAACCTAACCAATATTAAAACGCAATCTTTCGTAAAATCTAACTACGTTCCTAAATCCAAATCAAAATCCAAGACTAATTAATTATATATCTGTTGCCAGTGGCAGTCACATAGACAATACCAATTTCCAAATACGGCTAAAGAGTTTGTTGTCAGAGTGGTCCCTTCACCTACTACTAGTCTCTGATACCGCAGATAGTGCTTCCCCCCTCAACGCATTTTCCTTGAAGTTCATTGATACAATCAAATTCTGTTTATATAGTGCTTTCACTGCAACTCTGAGAAGCACCGAAGGAGCAATTTCACAATAAAAAGATAGAGAGAGAGAGAGAGGGAGAATGGAATCGAAGGATCGGGTTAGGTTTTCGATCTCTACCTTCTACTTCTACTCTATGATGATCTTGTTCGTCGGATTCATGAGTAGTCTGTGTTTGAAAAGTGAAGCTGCGGTTGTTTCTGCTGCATCATTGAGCTGCAAGAATGGGAATGGGACGATAGCAGAGTGTAATGAGGAGGACGAGGTCATGATGATGGAATCGGAGATTAGCCGGAGGTTGATGGTGGAGCAGACGAAGTACATATCTCCGGGAGCTCTCCGGAGAGACAAACCAGTCTGTCATGGCGGAGGCAGCGGCGAGGCTTACAGCAGATCTGGAGGCTGTCTTCCTTCTCCTTCAAATCCTCATACCAGAGGCTGTTCTAAGTACTATCGTTGCAGATCTGATTCTTGAGATCTCACCAAAATTGGTTATATGTTGCAATTTGATCCGATTTTCATCCTAGTTCTTTAAATTTCATCGAGGTTGTACTGTAGTCCTTTTTTTTTTTTTTTAATTTTACAAGAACGGGACATCATGAAATTTGGCATCGTAAGTATCCTTCTTTTTCGTCAGAGTTATTCAATTTGGGACATTTAAACATGCATAAATAAAACTATTTTTTTAAAAAATAATATTTAAATTTTGTTTTGTGCCTTCTCATTTTCTATTTAGGAGATAACTCTCAAATGATTATAGTGTTTCTATTTATAAAATAATTTATGAAATCCAGCGGGAGTTAATGTATTTTTCAAATGCTCTTTGAAAAATAACATTTTAAGTCCATTTGATTTGATATGAGAAAAATGGAGGGGGAGTATTTTTCTTTTTTAGAATGGAGGGGGAGTTTTAACAACCTCCATTAAAAAAATTTAAAAAAATGGGCTAAAATTTTTAACTAATATTGTTTACTTTTTTATCTTATACTTTTTTCATCAAAATTTTATATCCTCACTTTTTAATCTTTTGGATTGAGCTCATTAAAAGGATCAATAGTTAAAACAAGAAGGATGCGGTAAAAGAAAAATAACTTCAAGACCTTCTTAAAATTGAGATGAAAGTATAAGGACTTGGGTATTAGTTTTGGGAAAATTCCAAAAAAGATAATTATTGAATTTTAAAATTTTAAATCAAGGTTACTATACTCGTAAAGAAAATGACTACTTTTGAAAAGTAAATAACAACACATTCTTGTAGTAATTTCTTATTTGAAATTTTAAAACTCAACAGTCATTTTTTTAGGATATTCCCATTAGTTTTCTTTTTAATTTATTTAATTAAGAAAGAGAGTGTAAGAGATAAAATCATTTAAACATGTACAAATAAAAGTATTTTTTTAAAATAATACTTTATCATCAATTCATTATACTTCACTTGGTCATTTAGAAGAAGAAAGATATTATTCTATGCATCAAGCTGAAACAAGGACTAACTACAAAGGAAAATGGTAGTATCTTGTGTTAATCAGAAGCTCAAAATCACCAGACTTGATGAAGAACACAATCACCCCCTTCACACACTTCATACAATGCATTTGTTGGCATTGCAAAGAAATTTATTAGAAATTGACACCCATGAAATAGACCTCCCAAGAACGTTTAGTATAACATCTTAAATTTTACTCCAAGGATTTAAAAATTTAAAAATTAAAAAAGGGTTCCAAATTGTTATTTTTCCGTTTTACCTAAGATTTTTAACTTCAGTTTACCTCGAATGATTTCTTTTTACCTTCTCCTGTTTTTTTTCCTCTTCTCCTTCTCTCTCTCTGCGTTCATTTTGCTGGCAGGGTCACTTGTCTCTCCCTTCTTTCTCCATTGTTTCACATAATTTTGGTAAGTAAAACTGCTTCTAATTACAAAACTTCATTCATGAAAGTTGTTCTACTTAGTCAATCTATCTAATGATAGTAATTTTGTGTGGCTTAGAGAAAATTTTTTATAGAGTTTGGAACAAGTATTTAGTTTTGGTGAGTGTTAACCACAGTATTGTAGATCTTTTATAGTAGATCATTTCTACCGGTTTAGATTTGTCCATTTGTTGATTTCAGTATTTTAAAAATTAATTTTTATATTTATGAGATATATCATATTTATACTGATTAAAATTAAGTTAAATAATTTATTTGGATTGTTTGACATATTATTGAGATTTTAATCGGTTCAATTTTATTTATTGGGTGACTAGAAGTTTTAAAATAATTATTTTTGTTAAAAAGTTTACTATTTATGAAAAAAATAGTTATACCATTAGAATTTGGATTGGATTATTTATATATAAATATTTGAGGTACTATTAAATTTTTGATGATTTTGTTTTGAGGTTTAAACTTCAAATGAGATTTTTAGAATTTAAAATATAATAATTTTATATTTAGAAATTTTGAAAATTCTTTTTATCAAAGTAAATAATCCGGAGGATGTAAACGAATAATTTGGCCTGTTAGAAAATTATAAGTTAGTTCTAAAATAATTAATTTTGTGTTATGAGAGTTGCAAGAATTTAGAAGGAAAATTCAATTAAATTAGGAATTTAACTGATATATAAGCTTAATTAATTAATTAATTAGCTTATATTAATATGTGGTTATATTAATTGTGTAGATTAATTATTGGTTGAGCAAAGGATTGACCTCGTGTAATCCTTTCTATTACTTTAGCGAGAGGTAACCACTTTCCATTTGTTATATGTGCTAATATGTTGTTTGTGAATATTTTGCTATTTTAGAATAATATTTGTTATTTGGAACTTGAATAGATATGTTATATCTTTTGAACTATGAAAATTGTCTTGTGGGATTTTCAGAATTGTGATTGAGAAGTTTGAAAAAGATATATGATTTATATCTTATAGATTATACTGGTAAAAGATTTGAGAAGTTTGGAAAAGATATATTATATCTTATAGATTATACTGGTAAAAGATTGAGACATTTTTGTTATATTGTGAATGGTTGGTTGTTGTTTGAATTTTGGATTGAGCTCTATCCTATCACATGGTAAGGCTGCCATTGGTGCATATTAGATGGCTTCCTTCATCCCTAGAGTAGGGGATAGACCTTTGTGGCTTTTTATTCATCCCCCAAAGTGTGGGATAAGCCTATAATAAGGGATGGACCTTTGTCACTACTTATTCGTCCCCCAAAGTGTGGGATAGGCCTATATGTCAGATTGATCCCCTATAGTGAGGGATAGACTTATGTGGCTTGTGTGTTAGCCCTCGTAATGAGAGTTTGGATTATTGAGATTATTTGAATATATATATTTGTATTTTCATTGATATATATATTGAGATTTAATAATTATGCCACTTGACACTTCACAAACACACGTTAGTATGTATGATGAGTTGGAAAGTTGGTTACTGAGATGTTTGTCTCACCCCCCGTGGTTTAACATTTTCAGGTAATAGCTCTAGGGGAAGACGGCAGAGGCTTAACTATAAAGTTTATCTTGTATAGCCTCTTTTTTGTCATGTGATGAGTATTTATATATTGCCACATAGTACTCACCTACTCTAATGTTGTAAATTAATACTTTTGATTACTGGTATTTGATGAGAGGGCTGTTTGAAGGCCAGAGATCTCTAAGACTTTGCACATGACATTCTTTTGAAAGTATGAGTTTTATTTGGGTTAAGCGTTGAATGATATTCCTGAACTTTGGAAGTCTAAGGCCCAAGTTACTTATTGACGTTGCTCGTGATTTTAAAATTTTAAGTTTTCTTCTTTTCTATCATGGTTTAACCTAAATGGATTTTAAAAGGACGGTTGTCACATTTAGGCTCCAGCTAAAGGCTACTTTTGACTTAATGAGCACATATTCTAGGGGTAAAGCAAATGTTGTGTATACTCGAATGGATATGCAGAACTTCAAAAACAACTTACAACATATGGTATAAACTAGAAATTTCTCCCCTCACGCTATGCACATTATGGTATATTTTATTATATTTGAAATTGGACAATACTTACACCATGTTCTTTATATCCATTTATATCTATTATATAAAGTTCTCTAATTATACATAATCATGTACCCTATTTTTGAAATATTTGCATTTAATGACTTTTAGTTATAAATCCACATGAAATCCCATTTAATAATGATGCTCTTATTTAATTCAATATATTCAAATTCCAATTAAATATTTAAATTCAAATTTAATTATTAATTTCTTTACTTGAGCCTCTAATTTGAAATCTCTTTTAATGATGATATTATTCAAAACCCAATTGCAATATTATTCAAATATGAAACTAATTATTAATTTTTCCATTTGAGCCTCTAATTGAAATCTCATCATTTAATTATAATGCTACTTATTTAGTTCCTAGAAGCATCATCATTTATGGAGCAACATTAACTTTTGATGGGACTATTGAGCCTTTCAAGTAGGCGTTAGAAACTTTCTTAGATGCTCATATGCAGAAAAAATATAAAATTGTTTTTACATACCAAGATCAAGCTATGGCAAGAGCTTTGAGTGAAGTTCTTATGATACAAAGCATTGCTTGCACACTTCACATTTGAAGCAAAATAGCTTCACCTTGGAAACTTGATAAAGGATGAGTCACACTTTTTGACTGATTTTTGCAAATGTTTGTCTGAAATTACAGAAGCATACAAATCTGAAGAAGCTTGGAGCCAATTATTATCTTCTTATGATATTCATGATAACAGGTGGCTAAAATTTATGCATATACGAAGAAACAGGGTTAGTGCTATATGAAGACTTCTCACACACTAGAAATGAGTAATGCACAACTTGTTGGAAGTATAAATACACATGTGAAACAATGCATAACTCGAAATCGAGATATCAATGAGTTTTCTAACCACTTTTGATGGAGTTTTTTAAGAGAAGTGGGACAATAAATGGAAGCTTGAGTTTGATTCCAAACAAAAAATACTAAGGATGGTTAATCAAAATGTGCCTATATTATGTCAACTTGCAACAAGTTATACCCCAGGTGCCTTTGACATGTGAAGAACAATGATGAGAACAAACTTTTATTTATACACAAAACCCATATGATTAATGAAGAGGGGAAATGGAGAGTTTCTTTTAAGCCTCACACACATGAAATTTTTTGCACATGTGGGATGTTTGAGATTACTGAGACTGTGTTGTCATGTGTTAAAAAGTATACAAGCCAAAGGATATGAGAATTATGCCCAAGCAATACATTCTCAAGCAATGGATTATGAAAGTAAGGAGTGACACCGTGCATTATATTAGAGGAAATGAGATACATATGGATCCTAAACATGAAATCACGCGACGGCATAGACAATTACTATATAAAATGTTAAGACTGGTTAAGCTCCATAAGAAAAACACAGGTTCGATTCCCGAGTCCAAAATAACTTGAAGATATTATGAGTTATACCTAAAACATGAATCACTGGAAGCGCACTTGTTAGGAGTGCTGTAACCTTAACGTTTCTGGCTAGACAGATATGAATCTTAAGTTCAAAATAACTTAAAATACTCTGAGTTGAGTTGTTCCCCAAAAAAAAAAAAGGTAAGGTTGGCAGCATCTAGATGTTAATCAATGAAGCACAGAATGACATTCTTAGTAGTAATGAAGATGATATTGCTGAGCCTAGTGTAGCACAATCATGGAATTACAAAATATGCCCAACGGCTTTAAAAGAAGAAGGAAGAAAAAGAAAGCAGTGGCACAAAGTTTGGAGGGGAAAAATGCGAGCAAGCATAGACAAGCCCGGAAGAAGAATAAGTTTTATGTGTAAAGCTTTTATTGATCTTCTATTTATCTTGTGCAGACATGTGAGGCTCCACCATAAGAGAAGAAAGGTGAACTTAGAGAAAGATGCACAAACACAGCTTGCTCATCCAATTGAACCTGCACAAACTCAACATTCTTTCCCACCATCTACATCTCAACCATTGTCATTTACAAGCCTATTAATAGTATGAATTAATAAATTTGTTGCTACTTATTATTACAAATAACTATGATATCCTCAAGTCACATCCATCGATATTTACAAATGTAGGCACTTGAAAGTGATTTCCCATCACTTGAAGATATATATCTCAATGCAAACAATTCCCAAAGCAATGAAAACAAAGATAAACAGAGACATTATGGAAAAATTATAACCTTTTATTCATTTCAATATTGTCAATTACAAATATTGTTAAGACTGGTACAGCTCTCACATGATATAATCCTCACAAATTACAAGTCTTTCGATTCATATTGGAAACTAAAATAGACATTGGACTCTTTTGGTGGCTATTTTTCTGGGAAGCACCACACCACTTGTTACACACTTCTTTTGGATCTTAGGAGTGCATAGGACAATTTTATAGAAGGATGGCAATTGCTTTGTTTCCCTAGATAGAAACCATCTACACTTGCAATCAATGTCCACCAAATCAATTTCCATCCTTGAATTTTGTCAAAGCTACAGCAACAATGTACAGCATCGTCTATGTCAAATTGTGCAACTTTTAGCAATGTCCAATGCAAGTATATCTATTACACTAAGTGCAACTTTCAGCTTGTCTAAAACCCTACCAATTTCTAGCAGTGTAGTGTTTCTCAAACTGACAGCAAGGAATTTTGACAGCTTACCAGATGATGTTATATAATAAAGCTGTGCATATATAATGGACATATAACTCATGTAAAAGAGGAGTAAAAATAAGAAAAGTTATATTTAGTCTCCATGTATCTATAAATAAAATCATTTAAACTTGATCCACTGTCCTCAAGTTTTGATCGATCAGTTGAGGAAAAAGGAACTTGTTAAGAGACCTGTTAGACAGCTTTCTTCCTCTAGGTAATTGACATAAAAGTTCCATGAAAGTGCTGGACCAATTCTCAGTTGCATTGGAGCCTAATGGCATTCCCGGTTTGGATATAGAATGAGCCAATGATGCATAGAAACACGATGCAATTAGGATCCTATAAACAAATGATAGCCAAAACCAAATAAAATGAAAACGGAATTATAGACAAGTCATTTTTCGCATGAATATATTTTCACCGTAAGCAATTTTTCAGTTTATATAGGAAGGCCAAGAAGACAAATCAGGAGGAAAAATGTATGATTTTAAAGTCATATCAATTGCAAAGGTAATTATATTTACAAATCAGATGTTGGTGGCTCTGCATTAAATTCAAGCACAAGGCCTGTTGTCTACATATAAATGACTTAATCTGAGGGTAGTGAAAGCTGTTGTCAGCCAAATACAAGAACCAAACAACCTAAAGGTTGCAAATTCTGATTGGCCGCAAAATCTGCATCAAGAGTATCCTTATCCCTGATGTTTGTTTCAAAAATTAATCTGGAATCAATCCCAAAAGATCCACTAGTGCCCAGTATAATTAAGACTTATCACCTCCTGACGGCCACCATTTCAGCACCATCCATCCTACCTTACTCACGGATGCTCAAAAGCCCAATTCCATTGTTTCCCTTCACCATTGTATTTGTTGTCCGACAGCAACCATCACCTCGACTCAGTGTGAAGGTTGCAGATGTCAGGGGAAAAGGCCAACTGAATTCCTACGGTTGAGATTATCTGAAAATCAACAGTTGAGATCTTCCCACAAATCCAAACGATGCATTTTATGCGATGAGCACCAGCTGCTCATAGATGCGCTGAGCACAGCATTTGAACTCTAAATCACATTATAATTGTAAGCCAGATGGAGTTTAAAGGCGTAATTGTGGCTGACGTTAGTTCTAAGGTGTTAGGATTAATTAATGATCTATTCTACTTGAATTCAAAAGGTGTTTTGGATGTTTACAATCTGACCTGGTAAGGAAAATAAATTCTATAATCATAAGTGGACAATGAAAGTGTAACACGCCATCTCTAGGAGTTGTCATCTCATTATCTTTTATCACATTATCGTCACATTTTTTGTATTCACCAATCACCTAAAATCTAGAAAAATTAGCTTAGGTTTTAGTTCATTCTAGCATAATTAAATCTGTCATAAATGTGGTTAATTTGTATTGTCACTTAATTAGATAAATTTTTAGTTATCTAGAACTCACTTGAGAGATTGACATAGGCTGGCCCTATACACAGGGTAGTCTAGTATTAATCTGGTACGCTAACAACATGTATGATCAATATCGCATAATCCAATACTGCTAGAACAAAACATGTTGGAATAGACACAGACATTTTATCAAGGAAAATATTGAAAGTGGATTCATGTGCCTGATATATGTTCCATCAAGGAAGCAAATTGCCTATGTCTTCACCCAAGGACTTCCAGGAGAGAATGTTGATGAGTGTATAAGCAAGTAGGATATGATCAACATCTATAATTCAACTTGAGGAAGAGTGTGAGAATATCTAATTTTATCATACAGTTTATTAACACTTATTAGGCCTCTTAATTGGATCTTACTCGTGTGCCTTATCAGTCAGAGAAAAATAAAACATTTTCCCTCTTAATTCAGCACATTATCATCATGGATAAATGTAAATAAACAAAACAAAGAGAGTACCCAAAGAGATAAGCAAACAGTATTGAAACAATAAAAAAAAATTCCGAGTTCTCATCAGAACATTTAATCCAGAAGGATATGCAATTGAGTTGCCCTAAGATTTTGACTACTTTTAAGATAGGGAAGCGAAAACCTTTCTAAAGCATTCCAAAGTAGACCAAAAACGTGGGCTTCACCATCACATCTCATAACTTGGATGTAACTGACCATCACAGAGTGATAACTACTCAGCTCATCTCATCAAAAGCTCAAGTTTGGAAACTGAATTTTATGCAAACTACTGAGTTCACCTCATTTAAAGGCCAAGTTTGGCTAAGCTCATTTACTTGAAGTACAAAGCTTGAATAGTAAGATTAAACTGTATCAAATTGAACTTCAAAATTTAATCCTGACCTTGTTAGCTTCACAAGCAACTGAAATATAATATCAAGTAATAAAATAATATTGCATAATGCATGTATGCATGCATGATTTTATGAAAAACTATAGATCAATACAATAATTTATACATCACTGAAAGATTATCATATTATGTTCCATCTTTCCTTTACCCACATAGGAAATATAGAAGTTCACAATTGTTTTGGTTAGTTTAGTTAACATACATGCAGACAGGTATTATTCTATTCATAGTACTATATAAGAACTAAACAGGCCCAGTTCATTTAACAATGATGATGTTTTGCCTAAGCTTGATTAGTTTTAAATGAGCGAACTTGATCACATTAAAAATTTGCTCAGCTCGAGATGATTACAGCTCTACTGGTAAACAGTTAATGGCATCCAATGGTTTCATGTCAACAAAATCATGTTTGAAAGCAATAAGTAATTCAGGGATGGGTAAAAATTTTGTTCTTACAGTAATTTGAACAATCTTCGGGGTGCCTAATTTTGACAGTGGAGCCAAAAAGTGTACCGCCATGAAAATAAAGAGATGCTGAGGCATCGTCAGTTGTAAGAAACTCAATGAGTGCTTGGCCCTTAACTTCGTGCAACTGCAGTCAAGACATAAAAGGATAGCCTCAAAATCATTGCTATGTGCATAACAATTTAAATTTACACATTACACATTTGCTATCTCTAAACTCACAATGCAGCTAATACAAGGCAGGTCTCCTTGGATGAGCTTTACACCTGCAGAGAGCAAAAGGTTATTGAGAGACTCCATCACAGCTCACTCAGAAGCATAGAGTTTCAAGCACGAGAATACAGTAGAGCCCAGAAGCTTATCAGGTACAATGTTGTCATCAACAATCCATGGATGACCTGACATTAGAATCCACTTTAGTACCACATGTTGAATATCGGTAGTCATTGCATTCTAAGAACTGCTTAAGCTCTAACGCTTCAAAGCCCAATTATCAAACCCAGTTGAATATAAAAATTGAAGACACTGATTACTCAATGGCCTGTATGCATCATTTTTGGATTTTGATCAAAAAATTTCTAACTAGATCCTTGGCACTTTTGAAAAGTTAGGCCATGGTTCTGATTGAAAATAACATTTTCTTCGCAAAATCAGTTGGAAGATCCCCATTTCATTTTCTGCAGGTGGCCGAATTTTTAGAACAATATTAGCATTGAAGAATAAAAGATCAAGAGAGTAAGTTAATGTTCCCAACTGACATTCACTATGCCCATGTCATGGGTACTTAATGTAATGCAAATTTTTGGCTAAATTGATTTAATTGTTTTGAACTCCACCGTGGTATCTATTTTCTATATGTTCATCATTTTCAAGTTTCTCTTCATTACCCCTTTTTTTGCCATCTCTCTTCATCACTACCATATTATACAGTTATTTTGTAATTTATAGATCATAGGTGTTAAACGAGGAGGGGATCTTAGATTAACATATAAACAGCAGATAGTTACCAGCCCAAAAAGATGGAACCTCATTTTATAAGACGTGTAAAATAACCCCAGCATACATCTGATTCAGGTCCATAACGCCTCTCCAACAAGTCCAACAGATTTCCTAGCGAAAGTAGAAGTTGCAAAAAGTGTCGGTGTGGAGACGACAATCCCCAACCGCATTGAGCTAAAATTCAACTGGTTCTTTAATTTGATGATCTAATGTATGCAGCATAATGTAAATAATACTTCTCTGTGGGTGGGAACAATCCCCAGCTGCAAATACATTATTTCTTCCATCAACTTCAATCCAACTGCATCCTACTGGCTTTTTCATATCTTTGTCCCTCATCATCCTTCTGACCTCCATGACCCCATCCCATCTAGCATCTGCTGCATACAAGTTTGACATGACAACATAGTTTCCAATATCATTAGAATCAGTTTCAAAGAGCTGATCAGCCACAACTTCTCCCAATTCCACCTCATGATGTATTTTGCAGGCACTTAACAGTGTCCCCCACACATTTGCATTAGCTTTGTTTGGCATCTTGGCAACAAGAGCATATGCATCATGAACACGGCCACCTCGAGCTAGTAGGTCCACCACACAAGCATATTGCTCCAAAGTTGGTTTGATCCCATGGATTTTCTCTATTGAATAAAATATCTTCAGTCCTTCATCTACAAGGCCAACATGACTACAAGCAGACAACACAGAAGTGAAGGTGACATGGTCTGGCTTGATTCCCAGATTGATCATATGATAAAAAAGCCCAAGTGCTTCATCACTCATACCATGCATAGCATACCCACTAATCATTGCAGTAAACATAACCAGATCCTTATCACTGCTTGAATGAAATAGCTTATTTGCACGGCCTATGATGCCACATTTGGCATAAGTGTCTAAGAGGGCAGCATTCAAGCGAACATCATCAAAACAAGATCTGATGATATAACCATGACACTGGTTCAACAAATGTACTGACGCCATTTGTGTGCATGCAGGAAGGAGGCTCATAATAGTCACTGCATCAGGCCTCATCCCTTGAGCCTGTAACTCGGAGAACAAACAGAGCGCTTGCTCAGGAAGATCATTCTCAGCATACACTCGAACCATGAGGTTCCAGGTGGTAATGTCTGTCTCAGACATCCGTTTAAATACCATATTTGCATCATGAGGTGATCCTAAATCTACATAGCCCGAAATCAGTGAATTGCAAGTGACTAAATTTCTCCTCTCTGATAGATTTAGAAACATTTTGTGTGCATACAACATGTTACCACATTTGGAATATGCATCAAGAATAGCATTCCCAACTGTGGTTGCAATATCACAACCCAAAAGGCCAATCTTAATTGAACAGCCATGAATTTCTTTAACCTTTTCTACTTGCAAAAGAGAAGCACAAAAATTGATTATAGTCAATATTGTAACAAAATCAGGCCTAATTTCTTCCCTAAGCATCCAATGTAATAAGCTTAAAAATTTAGAACCACAACCCTGCTCTCCAAAGGCGTCAAGAATAGAATTCCATGAAATAACGTCTTTCCTTGATATCATAAAAAATGTATGATATGCCGCGTCTATATCACCGCATTTTGCATAGAAATTTACACAGGCATTTCCAACTGCTGTATCATCAAATAGAAAAGAGTTTCTAAAAACATAAGCATGAATCTGTTTTCCCACCTCTAAGTTTCTTAACTGAGCACATACAGGAAGGATGCTAACAATAGTTACAGAATCTGGCAATAACATCTCAGCAAATGTCAAATTACCAAACATATGCAATGCTTTCAACCATTCACCGTTAGAGGCATATCCCGCAATAATAGCATTCCAAGAAACCAAATCCCTTGCATCCATTTTCCAGAAAAGGTATTCTGCCTTTGCCACTTGCCCAACTTTTACATAAAAGCTAATTAAAGAATTAGAGACAGAAGTATTACTTGACAATTCAATCTGTTGTATCACATAAGAGTGGATTTGTCTTCCAAAATGGTAGGCAACGTTTCTATCAAATGAAGCACAAATAGGTAAAATACTTGCAATAGTTGCATAATTTGGTTCTAAGGGTCCTCTCACCATTGAACTGAAAAATGCCAATGCATCCTCGAAGAACTTGTTCTCGGCAAGACCTGCAATCATTGCATTCCATGAAACAGCATCTTTGTGAATAATGTTACTGAACGCAGCAAATGCATCATTAGACACCAGTCCACACTTCGCATAAAATGATACTAGAGCATTTCCAACAAGGGTGTCTGTTTCATATCCTGATTTGATTAAATAAGCATGGGCACTCTTCCCAGCATCCAGATCCCTTGACTGAGCACAAATGGGAAGAATAGTAGCAACAGTAACAGAATTAGGCTTAGCCTCTCCACTTGCATGCATATTCCAAAATGTTCGAATCACATCATAGTCATGCTTCTTGAACCGAGAAAAACCAGATAAAACAATATTCCAAATAACAGGATCATTAGGACTCAACTGATCAAAAAGTTTTTGGCAGTCATCAAATGCGCCACATTTGGCATACATGTTAAGTAGTGCTTTGGAAGTGACCTGGCACGAACCATAGCCCTGCTTCACAACAAAACTATGTAGAGTTCTGCCCAAGGTGCCAGCCAAAAGGGTAGTGCAAGACTTGAGAATGGTAGCAAATGCTAGGTGATCTGGTTTATAATCTTCGAAACTCCTCAAGCAGTCAAAGAAAAGTGTCAGGGCTTCTTTATGTCTAGCATCCATACATAAGCCCCTGATTACAGAATTCCATGTCATGAAATCCTGTTGAGGCATGCCAAGGGGAAGCTACAACAAAACTTTAGGCAACAATAAAAGACCACTTGTAGGAGCTGCCGCCAATACGCTGAAAGCTACAAACTTTTGCATATCATAAAGAACTTCAACATAAGCTTTTCTTGTTCTTCAATCAAACCAACAAGTAACCAATAACATACAGACAACCTTCAAAATGAGAAGAACCTGCATTCAGTTTAAACCAATTGCCTAAGGGATGATTTAAAAGGAATAAGAGAGCACGAGCCCCAAAAAAAACTTCCGTTGCACACACCATTGTAGCCAAGGTGGCATTTTTCCTACATGGCATCCATCAAACCACGACGGTGGGAACCTGAACAATTAGATCTTTCGGGAGGTTTCCGTACACATGGTGATCACGGCTCACAATTAAAAGTTCCTTAGATGCAGCTTCTTTCATTGAACTAACCAAATCATCTTAAGCTTGAAGAACATTTATTCTAGAAGCATTGAGATGCATGGAGTACTCACTGCAACCAATAAATAATGCTATGAAACTCAATTTATCTTAAACCTTTTTAGCAAGTTTGAAGACAAAAACACAGAATATTTCACCTGAAGAAACATATTAGACGTCTAGAACTGAACATATAATCATAATCACTTAGTAAAAGATATGATTTTATATGCCAAATTTCGTCAAAACACCTAAATTCAAGTATTGTCTCAACATTCCCACGATTTTGAAGCAATTTAAACTCAAAATCAAGCCCATTCAAAATGAAGCAAGCATTATTTATGGTTCCAATGAACAAGATCAAACAAAAGATAACAAGAAAAGAAGATCTTTTATACTTTGACATCAAGTCAAGCTTCAGAATCACATACACTCATTAGATCAAAAGCCTTTAGAATAACTCTAATAGTCTGAAAATGTAAAATAGAGAGTTGGGAGGGAATTTTTTCAACTCCAAGATTCAATAACAATTACCACATATAAATATCTATGACCAAAACAGCAATGAGAGTTTACGAACTGGGAGCAAAAAAGTACAAAGTATAGCTCAACTTAGGTCTTCTAAATATCTAATTGCTTTTCTTCTAAATTTCTCAGCTTCAACTAACTGCAACTTGTCGATGTTGAATTCCTATGGAAATCAGTAGAACATTTCAGCAACAATTCAACAGCGGTGCCGTCCAAATGGGCTAAATATACAAGGATCACTAAGTTCAAAAGCTAAGGTAACCTACTTCGCAAAATCCAAATCAAAATCCCAAGACTAATTAATTATATATCTATTGCCAGTGGCGGTCACATAGACATGCCAATTTCCAAATGTGGCTAAAGGTAAGAGTGGTCCCTTCACCTACCACTCATCTCAGCTACTAGAGTTAGTGCTTCCTGCACTAACGCATTTTCCTTTAAGTTCACTAATCCAATCAAATTCTGTTTATATAGTGCTTTCATTGCAATTCTGAGAAGCACTGAAAAAGCAATTTCACAATACAGAGATAGAGAGAGGGAATGGAATCTAAGGATCGGATTACGGTTTCGATCTCTACCTTCTTCTGCTTCCACTTTATGATTATCTTGTTCGTCTAATTCATGAGGGGTCTATGTTTGAAAAACAAAGTTGCGGCTGTTTCTGCTGCATCATTCAGCTGCAAGAATGGGAATGGGAAGATAGCAGAGTGTAATGAAGAGGACGAGATCATGACGATGGAATCAGAGATCAGCCGGAGATTGAAGGCAGAGCAGATGAAGTACATATCTTTGGGAGCTCTCTGAAGGGACAAACCAGTCTGTAACGGCAGAGGCAGCGGCGAGGCTTACAGGAGATCTGGATGCTGTCTTCCTCCTCCTTCAAATCCTCATACCAGATGCTGTTCTAAGTACCCTTCTAAGTACCCATCGTTGCAGATCTAACTCTTGAGATCTCACCAAAATTGGTTATATGTTGTGATTTGATTCGATTCTCATCGTTGTTCATTATTTTTTTTTTTTGAACCATAGACAAAATGATATTTTAAAAAACAAACAAAGTTTACAAAGTACATACTAAGAGTAAAACAGTGAAAAAAAATTAAAATGAAGAAAACAGTGTTTAGAAATGACATTAAACTTATAATAAGAATAATTGTGAAGAAATGCTAGGATTTCCAGCCAAGTAATAGTTGGGTGATTGATGGAGCAAGCAGGAAGTTGCAGAAATCTCTTGTTAACACTATAGATGCCCAACAATGGTTGGGCCTGAAAGGTTAACATGATAGACTCTTTTATCCAAAATAAAGATGCCTTGAGACATTTGGAAAGAAATGATTGCCTGCCAGAGTGAGATTTCACCAGAGAAATTCTTTCAAGGGTTTGCCTTGATAACAAAGGATACGATAACAATAGTGGATGTGAGCATTTTTATATTTATATAGAAGAATATCCCAATCATGCATCTGAATAAGTTGTTGAGGCAGATCCAATTTTCAGGTTTTGGTGTAAACAGGTTTGCTCACAAGCATAGTCAAAACCAAAAGCAGAGAATGAGCTTGAATGTTGAGCCTCCTGAATCACTAACAAGGGAGATTCCTTCTTACCCTCATGTAAAAATCGATTTCTTTTCTGCCAGATGGTATGCAATAAGCAAATAATCCCACAAATTAAGTGTGAATGACCTTCTTTTTGCAAAGCAAGGAAAGTTGAAGTAATCCAGATTTTGAAATCCTCAAAGCTGTCAAGCTTAAGCCGAATTGAAAAGCAGCCATATGAAAGGACTCTAGTATAAGGGCAAGAAAAGAACAAGTGTTCTAAGGATGCCTCTTCATCACAACCAAATTGGCACAAAGTGAGACTGTTGAGATGATGAATCTTCAAGATATCAAAGACCAGCAATGCTTGTTTTAATAGTTTCCAAATGAATTACAACTATTTATATGGTACCTCTAGGTTCCACAGAAGACAACAGAAATCTGAAGAAATTGTGCTCATAATATCAGGCATAGACCAAATGATCTTCACGCCATCTTTAACAAGGTACTCACCTCAGGGGTTACCATTCCAAATTAATTTGTCAGATAGATTTAAAAAGGAAGTAGGTAAACTCATAATTTGCTTGGCAATATCCTAGCTACAAGGTTAATCATATGAGAATTCCAAATCATGGGATTCCAAGTAGAAGACACATACAATAAAAGATTAGACACCATTTTATCATCCATGTGAAGTCCAAGATCTTGTTGCATGGGCCACCATAAACGGTGGTTTAAGGGGACAAGCAAACCATTTCCTATTCTCCATTTTAATCTTCCAACTATCAAATCAGCATGGTCAATAACGCCTTTCCAGATCCAAAAAGAATTGCAAGGGAGTTTAATCATGGAAGGAGAATGAATGTCAATATATTTCACTTTCAAAGAGAAGCTAATAAGGATGGTTCTTCAAAGTTGATGACTCTCCAACTCTGTTTTGCAAGGAGTGCTTGATTTACTAACTTGGATAGTCTGAGATCCAATCCACCCTTTATTTTACCAAATAGACTAAAAAAGTTCGTCTCTTTTTACCAAATGAATTTTCCTTTTATTAGAAGTACCCAAAAAAAAAAAGCAAAACAAGCATCAATTCTCCCGCACACATATGTAGGGAGTTTGATACAAGAGAGAATATGAACGTTGACCAAGGCCAAGACTGATTTTATCAGTGTAAGTCTAGAAGCTTGAGATAAACATTTAGAATGCCAAGTAGTGATCCTGTGCTCAACTGAGTCTATAACTTGCTAATAAATTTGAGATCTGCAGAATAAAGTTACAGACAAAACTTACAATTCAAGAACTCCTATCATATCTTCACTCAACTTGAAAGCAATATGATCCCAAATAAATACAATAATAGAGCTACTGTTTGCGGTCAGACCTATAAAAGGAAAGTTAAGAGACATTGAGGTTTAAGGAATGAGGGGTAGGGTGACGTTAGACTTTGACATTTCAATAGGACTCTTCTAGTTACTTTTGGTTACTTTTACTGCTACTTATATTAGGGAAAGAACTTTCTTTTGGGGGCTATGATGTTTCTTTTTGGAGTGTGATACACTTGTGAGGACTGGTGCTCACTGGAGGCCAATTGGACCTTGCTTAGGCTTGGTTTGTTTCTTCATTTCAATCACCGCGTTTACATTAGCGAATAGGATTTTGATCTACATCATTGAGTCCATTGTAACACTGATTCAGTTATTTTGTTATCATTACCAAAATCTCAGTATTTCTCTACTGCATTGTACTGTTTCTCTATTGTTTTGCTTTGTTATTGGAATATATTTTCCAGGACCTATCAGAGCGGCTAGATCCTGAGGCTAGTAACTGAGGAGAATGGGAGAGAAGTCTAAGACGGAAGTGCAGGAGTTGAGAGAGGAGATGAATGAGAAGGTAGGGGGACTAACGAGAAACATGAGCATCCTCCAAGAGATGATCTTAAGGATTGATACGACTCTGGAACACTTGCAGAAAACCATAACCGCCCCAAATGCTCACAAACAAGTAGGCACGCAAGAGGAGGATGAAGTGGACAACCACGGAGGAAGAGTGAAAGACACGGGAAGGTATAGGAAGCTGGAGTTACCACTTTTTGCTAGTGAAAACCCCCTCGGCTGGTTCTTTAGAGTCAAAAGGTACTTCCGCATTAATCCAATAAGAGAAGATGAGAAGCTAGAGGCAGCCATAGTGTGCCTAGAAGGAAAGGCGCTGAACTGGTACCAATGGGTTGAATTCAGAGACCCTATCCAAAGCTGGTTAGAGTTCAAAAGTGAGATCTTGCGCAAGTTTCATTCAGCGCATAGAGGAGGGGAGTACGAGTTGCTTTTTCCCCTTAAACAAGAACGAACGGTGCTGGAATATGTCGAGGAGTTTGAGCACTACTCAGCACCCCTGAAGGACGCCTCCAAAGCCTGCTTAATCGGCGCCTATCACAATGGACTCAAGGCGGTGATCAGGGCGGAGCTCTGACTGACTCATGCGACTTCACTGAGAGAAATAGTGGAATGCACCCTTTGTATTGAGGAGAGAAACATGATCTTGGAGGAAGAGAAGACAATTAAAGCTAGGGCCAACGTTTCCAAATGGGCTTAGCCAAGTCTCGGCCCAAACCCAAATCTCCAGGGTGACTCACATGTCGGACAATTTGAAAGGAGTCTCCATGAGCCCAGCTCTAGTAGAAAACACGAAGAAGACAGAAAACAAAGTAGGAGAGGCCAAATCAAGCAACAATGTAAAAGGGGAAGCTCTTTTCGACGCTTACCAGACTCGGAGATAGTGAGAAGGCATGAACAAGGTTTGTGCTTCAAGTGTGGAGATAGATAATATCCGACCCATACTTGCAAAAATAAACAACTGCAAGTGATGATTGTTGAAACGGACGAAGCTTTCAAGGAAGCCCTGTAGGAGTTCGAATCGAAAGATGATGATTTGGAAAGGGAAGAAATAACGGCTACTATGGAGTTATCCATGAACTCTCTAGCGGGTTTGAATAGCAATTATACAAAGAAAGTGCGAGGCGAGATGGGGACGCACGAATTAGTAGTGTTGATAAATAGTGGAGCAACATACAATTTTATATCAAAGGAATTCATGACCAGAGTCAAGCTACCATCAGAAGAAGTTTCAGCTTACACGATTACAGTAGGGGATGGCTATAATTTCAAGCGCAATTTGAGATGCTCTAACGTGAAGATGAGGGTACAAGGAATTAACATAAAACAAACCTTTTACCCCTTTCCTCTCAGTGGAGTAGATGCAGTATTGGGGGTTGAATGGTTGAAATCTTTGGGAGAGGTAAAAATGAATTGGAGCCACCTGACAATGAAGATTGGCATAAAGGGAAGTCATGTCTACTTGAAAGGGGATCCTACATTGACCAGAGCTCAAGTCTCGCTTAAAGACCTTATCAAGTCAGTTCAGAAACAGGGGGAAGCATTCCTGATTGAATATAATGGACTCGTGGAAGAAGAAGAGGGAGGCACACCACCTCTAACACCAGAAATTCAATCATTATTGAATAAACATGCTTCGGTTTATCAGACAGCAGTCGGACTATCCCCTTCCCGTTTCAAAGACCACGCCATAATTATTAAACCAGGTGAGCAACCCCCTAACATAAGGCCTTACCGGTACCCTTATGCTCAAAAAAATGAAATAGAAACGTGAAAGATATGCTAAAAGTGGGAATTATACAACCGAGTTAGAGCCCTTATTCCAGCTCGGTATTGCTAGTTAAGAAGAAAGATGGGAGCTGGAGGTTCTGTGTGGATTATAGAGCCTTAAACAAGATCACTGTGCTAAATAAATTTCCGACCCCTGCTATCGATGAGTTGCTAGACGAATCAAAAGGGGCCACGGTATTCACCAAATCAGATCTTAAATCTAGGTACCATCAGATCAGAATCAAAGCTGGAGATGAATTCAAGACAGCTTTCCGGACACATGAAGGGCATTACGAATTCAAAGTCATGCCATTTGGACTGACCAATGCCCCATCTACCTTCCAAGGATTAATGAATAAGGTATTTCGTGACTACTTGAGAAAATCTGTGATAGTATTTTTTGATGATATATTAGTGCATAGCAGTGATTTAACCACTCACCTCAAGCATTTGGAGATTGTTTTGTATGTTTTGAAAGAAAACTAGCTAGTGATCAATTTAAAAAAATGTACGTTTGCTCAACCACAAGTGGAGTAACTTGGCCATATTATATCCAGAGAGGGTATGCAAGTTGACCCTAGCAAAATCGAGAGCATGGTGCAATGGCCAAAACCCCAAAATATCAAGCAATTGAGGGGATTTTTAGGCCTAACCAGTTACTGCAGGAGGTTTGTGAAGAATTATGGGAAGATTGCAAGCCCACTCACTGACTTACTCAAGAAAGATGCTTACAAATGGACAGATGCTGCTAGTGAGGCATTTGAAAAACTCAAAGTTGTAATGACTTCTTTACTAGTGTTGGCATTACCAAACTTTTCAGTTCCATTTGAACTAAAAACTGATGCATCGGGGACGGATGTAGGGGCTGTGCTGATGCAAAGGGGCCGACCAATTGCTTATTTCGGTCAGAAACTGTCCTTAAGGGCTCAAAATTGTTCTGTATATGAGCAGGAACTAAGGCAATTGTCTTGGCAGTTGAAAAATGGCATCACTACTTATGAGGACAGAAGTTTATCATTCGAACAGACCAAAAAGCCCTGAAATTTCTGTTGCAGCAGCGAATTGTTGAAGAAAATCAGCAACATTGGGTCTCTAAACTAATGGGTTCAAGTTTGAGATCATGTACAAACCTGGAAAAGAGAAAAGAGCGCCAAATGCCCTCTCAAGAAAAGAAGAGGTAATAATGTGTGGGATGTCCCTGTGGCAAAATGCTGATCTTGAAGAATGGGAAAAGGAGGTACAGGAAGACCCAAAGCTCAAACAAGTGATGCAGCAACTAATTACCAAGACGGGAAATGTTGTTGGATATAGCATCAAAAATGGGTGCCTAAATTACAAAGAGCGCCTAGTGCTGCCAAAGAACCCAACTAGAATTCCACTGCTGTTAAAGGAGTTGCATGACTCTCCTGTAGGTGGGCATTCGGGAGGACTTACAAGCGGCTGTCCAATGTGGTATATTGGGAAGGCATGAAGAGAGACATTCAACAATATGTTTCTCGCTGTGATGTGTGCCAAAAAAATAAATATCAAGCCTTATCTCCAGCTAGGTTGCTGCAGCCACTTCCCATTCCTCAACAAGTATGGAAGATATTAGTATAGATTTATCACAGGGATCCCTAAGGCTAAGAGGTATGACACCATTCTAGTGGTTGTTGATAGACTCACAAAATATGCCCATTTTCTAGCCCTTTCTCACTCTTTTACGGCTAAGGATGTTGCTGAAAAATTGATATGTGAGATTGTCAAGTTGCATGGGTTCCCAAGGACTATCGTATCCGATAGAGACTGAGTTTTTGTGAGTCAGTTTTGGAAAGAGCTATTCAAACAAGCTGGGACTCAATTGTGCCTTAGCTCGAGCTACCACCCTGAGAGTGACGAACAAACAGAGGTGCTAAATAGGGGTTTGGAGGCCTACCTGTGCTGTTTTTTATATGAGCAGCCCAATCGATGGCTTCAATAGCTACCTTGGGCGGAATACTGGTACAATACATAGTACCATAGTCCAGCCGGGATGACACTGTTCAAGGCAGTTTATGGGAGGGAGCCACCAACCTTTTTCAAGCTAAATGATGAACCATCACTCATAGAGGCAGTTAATGAGCAAATTCTAAACAAGAACCACATTATCACTATCCTAAAAGAAAATCTCAGGAAGGCTCAAGTGCAAATGAGGG